AAGCAAGTAAAATTTATTTATATAGCGCTTTTCACAGATAAAAATCACAAAGTGCTTTACAACACAGGAAATGGAAATATAAAAACAGTGTAACAGTAAATAAAACAATGTAAAACACTAAAGCAATAAAAACAGCATAAGAACAAATTAATAAAATGCTTTTCTAAATAAAAATGTCTTCAGCTGTTTCTGAAAAGAATCAGTGGAGTCCGTGCAGCGAAGAGACAGTGGGAGAGAATCCCACAGCCGTGGTGCCACCGTCTGAAAGGCCCGATCACCACGAGTTTTAAAACGAGTGCGCGATACCAGCAGCAGTCTCTGATCTAATGACCTTAAAGCCCAAGAAGATGTATGTGGTTTCAGCAGGTCAGATAAATATTGAGGAGCTTGACCATGCAGGCCCCTAAAGGTTAGAACTACAATTTTAAAATGAAACCTAAAACTTACAGGCAACCAGTGAAGGCAGGCCAAGACTGGAGTGATATGCGATCTTCTCTTGGTGCCTGTTAAGAGACGTGCTGCAGCATTCTGCACAGTCTGAAGACGATTTAAGGCTGATTTGTTAAAACAAGTAAAAAGGCCATTACAATAGTCTAAATGAGATGAAATAAAAGCATGAATAATCATCTCAAGTTCAAGCTTTGATACCATTAGTCTGAGTTTAGAAATATTCAGTAAATGATAAAAATAGTTTCGGACCAGCTGCTCGAGCGACATCGAGCTGTCAAACATGGCACCGAGGTTTCTGAGGCTCGATTTTACAGGAGGGTCTAAGAAGCTGATACGCTGCCTGATTTCTGGGACCATGTGGTCTGGAGCAATAATTAGGGTTTCTGTTTTATCAGAGTTTAGTTGGAGGAAATTGTCATATAACCATTTGTTGATTTCTGTCAGGCAATTACTTAAATTAGACAATTTATAAAACTCAGACATTTTGAAGGAACAGTATAGTTGGATGTCGTCAGCATAGAGATGATAGGAGATATATTTATAGCGCCTAATAATTTGGCCTAGGGGAGATACATAAAGTAAAAAGAGAATTGGACCCAGGACAGATCCCTGAGGTACCCCACACGGCAAAACTGTTGATTCTGATGTGACATGATTCATGCAAACAGTAAAAGATCTCTCAGACAGATATGATATAAACCATTTTAAAACAACACCAGTAATCCCAAACAAGTTCTCGAGTCTGTTTATCATGATGCTGTGATCTACAGTGTCAAAAGCAGAGCTGAGATCAGGACCAGCACTGTGTGCTCTCCAGAGTCTGCTGCCATCAAGATATCACTAGATACTCTAAGTAAGGCCGTTTCAGTGGAATGCAATTTACGAAAACCAGACTGGAAAGTGTCCATAACAGCATTTTTATCCAGGAAATAGTTACGTTGTTCTACTACTACTTTTTCTAAAATCTTCGATATAAAAGGCAGTTTGGATATTGGCCTATAACCGTTAGGAAGAGATGGATCCAGCTGGGGTTTCTTTAATATTGGCTCAACAACAGCTTGTTTAAAGAAGCTGGGGACTGAGCCAATGTGAAGAGAAGTATTTATCATTTCCACAATACAGGGGCCAATTGAATCAAACACACTAGTGAAAAGTGAAGATGGAAGGACATCAAGGGGGCTTGAAGTCTGTTTTATATGACAAAGCAGGCCTCTGATACTTGGTCCTCTTTTACTCCTGTTACATTACAAGACATCAGAGGAGAGCAAGTTGTAAGTTTGATATTGAGAAGATGATGGAGATATTAGACCTGATGGCAGTGACCTTATCTGTGAAATAGTTCATAAACTCATTGCATTCAGTGGTTGATTGAACTGGTGCACAAGGAGCATCAGGAGAAACAATGCTCATAATTGTTTTAAACAAGAATTTAGAATTAGTTCTTAGAAACATAATCATTTATGCTTAGAAATATATATTCAGGCTGGAAACACACACACGCACAGACAGAATACAGACACTGATGTTCAGAGATGCCTGCTTAAGAATGTCACATGTATTTGTAATTGCATATTCATGAATGATTGCTTTCTCACAATAAAAAGAGCTGCAGTGAAGGAATCAGTTGAAGTTGGTTGAGTTCAGGTGAAGGAATCTTATCCTCAGCTTTGGCTGACTTCCCTCGCGAGCCACAAAGACAAAGAGCTCTGTCTTGCCTTGTTTTGTCATGCAGTTAGTTGGGCTCGTGTTCCAGCGGGGTTTGTACCTAGATAAACCCAACACTTGGCATCCTGTTAACATTTTTAAAGGCCTCACAGTACCTTGTTATCCAAACAGATCACTTCATTCAGAGACTGTGGACTGTTTTCAAAAGCAGAATGGGAGGCAGAGCATTCAACCCTCAGGCCTCTCTACTATTAAAGCAGTTCCCAGTTTGTATTCAGGAGACAGACACTATCTCCAGGGTCGAGATTGTGCTTAAAACTTTCCTTTATGCTGCAATAGGCAGCTGTGGGGCTTCCATGGTCTACCACGTGTTTCTTCAGTACTCATTGTTAGGTTGAAATTGTTAAATGTTGTCATGTGTTAGTTACATTTGTAAGTCTTGGTTCAAACTGTATGATCAAAGAGATTCCTTTGTTTCTGACCCCCTCCCCAGCCTGTTGAATGGAGGGGGAGGCAGTAGTGTTTTATTATAGGGACACATCCAGGTGACTGTTCAGTTTTCTTGTTTAGTAAACTTCCTGTCTTTATGACCCTTTTGGTGAGCAGGAGGTCACACAAACACACCCCCAAAAACAAACACACACACTCACGTGCACATGCGTGCACATACACGCACACTCAATGCCTTAGGGTTTATGATGCACCATAGGGGGGGGTTACAATGGGTAAAATGGCCTGTATTTATATAGCGCTTTACTAGTCCCTAAGGACCCCAAAGCACTTTAATCAACCTGTCATCCACCCATTCACACACACATTCACACACTGGTGATGGCAGCTACATTGTAGCCACAGCCGCCCTGGGGCGCACTGACAGAGGCGAGGCTGCCGACACTGGCGCCACCGGGCCCTCTGACCACCACCAGTAGGCAACGGGTGAAGTGTCTCGCCCAAGGACACAACGACCGAGACTGTCCAAGCCGGGGCTCGAACCGGCAACCTTCCGATTACAAGACAAACTCCCAACTCTTGAGCCACGATCGCCCCGTGTTTGTGTAACCTGTGTGTCACAGAAATAAAAGGCTGTGGGGAAAGCTGGTTCTTTGGACTTGCTTGACACTGACTGCTGCCGTCCGGTTCCCCTTGCTAGCATGTGAAAATCCGGTTGAGCTGTTCGTCTTGCTTCGTTAACGGGAATAAGTCTCTAAACCAGCGGGGCCTGTGGAAGCGCCGACCCAACACTCATCTTTGTTCAGTTTGTGTTTATATGTGTCACTACTGTAACTGTTAACGTCTGTGACTCTCTCCCATAGTTTGCCCTTGGTCTCTTCTCTTCACCCCCCGCTGGCACCTGCTGGCTGCCCCTCCGTGAGTCTGGATCTGCTGGAGGTTTCTTCCCGTTAAAAGGGAATATTCTCCTATCACATCTTGATGCATGCTCAATCATCCAGGTAAGTAAATCTCCAAAAGTTGAACTGACCTCCCAGCCCATTGTTCCTGGTTTCAGTCATTATGCAAATGTCCTGTTTATAGGATTGAAACCTGCAGTCAGCTGAGACTGAAGACGTCACCTGATGATGATGAAACGTTTCTCCCACTGAAAACATCCAGATGAACACAGTCAGCTTTTGGAGATTCTCCTATAACCAAGTGCTTTCTCACAAGGTGCCGTGTGATTGCTTGAGTTTCTTACTCATGTTGCAGGGTTTAACCTTACAACATAAAGCATCTTGAGATGACTGTTGTAAATTAGTGGAATATATGGACGTCACCATGATGTCACCCACTGGTTTCAGGAAGTTTCATCTTTGAAACTGTGTCCAGTATCATCTCTTTTAGACCCTACAATGACCATAACTGCCAAGTTCCTTCCATATACTGCATGCATCACCTAACAGACTAATAATAAAAAATCACTCGTGAAAACTGAAGCACAAAAATCTAAAGTGATCTTTACTCTAAATGATACTATTCCAAAAAGTCAAAGAGTTCAGAAAGTAAAAATTTGGTAGACGTCAGGCCTAAAAGACCACCATCACTTACAGCTTCACTGGTACCTACCAACACGAGCTCGACTGGACTCAGTTCTGTTTCAGACATTTTCCATTACAATCTAGTAACAACTGACGTGTGTGGGGTCATTGTGGCACCCACAGCTGAAAGTCATGTGGAGGACGTCAGCGCAATGGTATACCTGCTGTATGGTGTATGTCTTTTTGTCAGACTGTGTGTTTTGGGTTTTTATTTCTGTCATTGTCTGCTTTCAAAAATGTTTTTTTTTTTGAAGATTTTGATTTTGGTGAAGGAGGTGCTCTCATGACTCATTGAGTGACGCCACTGACCAACCATTCGATAGCATGCAGTCTGCTGATGTCACATTGTCAGTTCACCTCAGATGACTCGGAGCCCGGCCGAGTAGATCCTAGAAAAGTTATGACCACCTGATGGAAACCGAGTCGGTACTAGTGGAACAGGGCTGTTGCCGCACACGTAGAAATGTTCCCGACTTTAAGCCTTTTTCAGCTTTTATAAAGGGAGAGCCAAACACAAAGTGCAAAGCAGTAAAATAGTTTTGGTTTTGTAACAGTTTGTAATGATGCACTTTTATTTCTGTGACATTGGTCAGTTTAACTTGAGACTTTGTTTTAGAGCCAGCCTCAAGAGGCCACCAGAGGAGCTAGCTTGGCCATCACCAGCTCTCCTAGAGGGAGCCTGTAAATGAAGACAAAGATTTTGGGTTATGTATCAGTAGAAACATGTGGTGTTTTCTACTATTAATATAATGAATTAGGATGAAATAATCAATTCTTCCATAGGAAAGTCTACTGCTTTAAATCTATGCTGCACAGAAGTACAGAAACAAGGATGACAACCAAGTCAGGAGGTAGAGAAAAGGAGATAGCTTTACTATAAAGAAGGCGCACTAGCAGAAGTTGCAACATGTCATCATACACGCATACATGGTGAATATATTTAAGCCATTTCCTGTAGAGTAGATGTACCTTACAAAAGCTGTTATGCTGCATGTAGAAGCAAGGTGTGAACACGCTGCTCTGATACACATGGTAAAAACAAGAAGATGCCAATATGACGCAGTTGTGAAAAATCCAGCTGGAAACGTGCACCAGTAAGTTCTGACACTTTGCAGCATTTTAAACTGAAGGAAAAGCAAAGGCTGTAAAAATACACATTGACTATTTTCATCCCCAATTAAAGGTGAGCTAAGATAATGTGAAGAGTGAAGAAAAAGAAGCTTGGTCTTTGTGCACCATAAACTGATGTGTAGACACACACGAAGCTTTGTATACCTTTGTTTTTTTGTTGTTGCCAGCATCCCTGCTGTGGTCCACCAGTGGAGGTTGGTGGATGGGCAGCAGCAGAGCGAGTAAGGAGTGGTGTGTGTGATGGTTTTTAGCAAAGATTTCCAGTTCCAGTGATACAATTCAGACCTGCTCTTCAACCAAATATTGCTCTTCCAGTGCTCTGTCTCACTGTCTGTGTCAGTTTCACAAGCAGCGTCCTGCTAGTCAACACAGTACAGCATGGGAGGAGTCATCCTGCTGATTAAAACTCAGAGGACACTGCTTTAACATTCAGGAGAGAGGACAGATGACTGGGACGTACTGTGAGAAATATAAGATCAGCAATGAGAAGGAAACTACTGGGCTCTGTTTTAGAGATGCTCAAACTCAAATTTCACTTTGGAGCCACAAGGTCTATCATAAGTAAAGTGGCCTTCTCCTCTGCAGACGTTAGCAGCAGGTGGTCTGGGTCAACTTCTAAACCCACTGTAGGAAGCAAATAAGCATGTGTTTCATGAAAATCCTCTACAACTGTTTTTAACCTGGCGCCCTGCTAAGCAGGTAACTTCAATCAATTTCAAGTGGCATTGTGCTACATCACAAGAAGGATAACTGTAGCTAACACTTGGATGTAGCACAGATGGGGATAGAGACAGCCTGGCAAAAACACTCAAGGTAAATTATTAAAAGAATACAAATATTCCCATCAAAGTCCAAAAACACATGCCCTGTTTCCATGGCAGATCTGTGTACTGATGAGAAGTGAAGAGGTGAGGGTGGGGCATGAAAACCAGAAGTGGGGGAGTCATATGTAGAAAAGAACCAGAAGGAGCATGTTTGGAGGCATGTCCCACTCCTGAAATTCAGATTCTTTATCTCCAATAGATGTGGATGCTGATCTGCCTGGCTTTGTGGTTGTCTGGTCTCGTTCAGTGTTTTTGCATACAGTATGCAGGCAAACATCTCACAGGAAGATTAAAGGCTTTCCCATTGCATGAAATGATTGAGGAGTTTTACTCCTTTAGTGTCCTTCACGTGTCCTTCAGTGTACACATGAAGTGTTGAGTTTGCTTTAACAAATCAAACTGACTGAATTAGAAAGGCTTGCCTCTTACTGCAGCCATTAGCAGGCAGCTCGTCCAACTCTGTATTGTATTAACACTGCCAAGGTTCATCTGTACAGTGCTCGAGAGAGAGCTGTCAACGGATTCTAGACAGAAGAGAACACGCCGTTTAAATGTTAGTTTTACCGAACGCTTAGTGTTGATTATATATCATCATGACAAACATCCCTTTGGTCTTTGTTACAGAGATCAAAACTAGTAAAACCGTTTCATTCTGCAGTGTAAGTGTATCAGCTGAGGATTGTGGAAGTGTTATTTTGATGTGGTCTGATATCACACTGTACCTGTTTGCTGTGGATCGTTTGAAACACATGTCAGGTTTGGGGCTGCAGTTAATTGGCCGTCTCACACTAGGACACATTAAGAAAGAGGAAGTTCAGAAAATGAATGATTTTCCCCAGTTTAAGACTTCTTACCAAGGTTTTTGTGGATATGCAGATTTACAAGTTGACAAAGAGCACCTGAGAAGAGTTGTAATGGGGAACAAAGACCAACAAACAAAGTGGAATACATTACAGGGGTCAAAGTTGTTGACCCCTGTAATGAGACACATGTCATGCCTGTGTATCCAGCCTCTATCTGAGACAAGGAGGGGACCTCAGGAAATTCATGTTCTCAGGTCTTGTAGTAGTTTGTGTAACTCAGGTAGTACGCTGCAGGAGCTGTTACTTTGAACACAGTAGAATCGAACATGTTTCTCTTTCACAACACAAACCAAGCCATCACCTGAGAAGGCTTGCCACAGTCCGTATATGACAACGCAAAGGGATGACTCTTCCTCAGAGTGCAAAGATTAATCCAAGCTACATAACAAAGGTGCAGGACAGACTGCACCACTACAGCTGCTTGGTGGATGCAGATTTGTGACTCATTGGGCGGGTGGGGGTCAAGTCTTCAATATTTACAAAGGTAGGATTTTCTTTCAGGACTCTGATGTACAAAATAAATACCAAATAATCTGCAATAATGAACACACATCGATTCATTCTCAGAATGATGGAAAGGTTATGCTACTTAAGTCTGAACAACAACACAGAGTAACAGTAACACAGCATGAGTATAAGGATGGACAGAGACGTCGGTACAGCAGAAAACGTAGCTGCTAGAAAAATATGTTGAAGATACAGTTGTGTGTTGATGCCTCTCGCGATGAACAATAACTTTATTCTGTAGCCATCGGTAGTTTGGCTCAGTTGTACATAAAGATGAAGTGAATTAAATTAAGAACTAATATATTAATGCTTTCCACATCATGTAATAAATACCAAATAAATATTCCAAATGTCCGCCTGTTTGATGTAGCACTCAGGGGTTAATAGTAGCTTCAGTAACTGCAGCAGGAGTGAACCTCAAAAACATCAAATGAAGCGGATAACTTTCATTTGTGGCTGTGAATTGTACTTTTCATTCTTTAAATCATTTGTATCACGTAGCAGTGTTTTGTAATTATGTCTTTTTGGAGCGATAAGAAACGGATCAAGTTCATAAAGATCCAAAGAGGTCCCTCTGTGCAGGTGGGGTCAGGCTGCACAGAGTGCAGTGCACTTACCTCACTGATTAGGATGCACCTTATCTACATCATGTGATTGTTGGCCTTCGCTCGCCCATGTTGTAGCTTGCAATATAAAGCACCTCAAGGCAAAAAATAAAATAATTGAACGTATCTATGTGGACTCTTTCAGATCAACACGTGTGGCTGTTCCAGTAACAGTGAGTACTGGAGGTCATTGTATACAGTGTGTGGTACTGATGTCTGCACAGCCGGAGTGAAGCTGGACGCACAAAGGTTAGTGTGGACACGGCTTATGGATCATGACTTCTGGTGCTACATTCATGACCCAGGAGACAAAACGAAGATGCTAACCTGACACTCGCAGTGCTAAAGAGGGGCAGAAGAATATTTTCTTTCAGTTGAAATATGTCCCTGTGTGACCACCATACATTTGGCCTGGTTCTAAAACACACTTTCAAAACTGCCAGTTTACCTGATTGGATGTAACTCTTTAACAAAGTCAACAGAATTAAGGAGCCTCACAGTTGTCCTGCAATATCAGAAGAATATTGATCCAGGACTGTGACTGACCAGTCAGCTTGTGCTTTGATGAGCTCATCCAATAACTGCAAGGTTGGCAGTTTGATCCACACCTCCTCGAGTTCACAGACTAAACTGTCTTTGGATAGCAGACTGGACATTTCCAGTGTCTTTCACGATTACGTTCACGGCAGGACACATTGAATTCAAACTTCTTCCTTTTGCAGTTTTTCCCACATTCCGATAACATGATGGCAATGATTCCCATATTAGTGTGGGAACCATTGTCCTCGAACCCTGTCAGCTAGACATGAATGTAGCACAAGCCCACATGCTAATTAGGGAATTCACTGTTTTTTAGTGCGCTGGTGTTTCTCGAGCAAACCTATCACATTTCTCTCGCACTAAGTTTATGACCATGCTTCAGAACAACGTTGGGTTTAATTAACCACATACTGTAACTGAGCACAAAGCATGAAACAGCTTTACCCAGCAAAAGCATTTTGAACAACTGCAACACAGGATAAGAGGGAACACCTGCAACAAAGTCCAAGGCAAACCACCTTGGGACTGAACCTGCTAAAAAGAAGCCCACAATGTGTACTTTTACTAACCAGATGGAACCAAAAATGGTATGAAGGAGGTGATAGTGCATAGATTTGCAGGGCACTAAAATGTGTGCCAGGACTTTATACAGCATTCGTTAAGTTTCACGGACTCCTCTATCAGCTGTGGAAAAACTAAAATCTTTCATTGCCTAAATATCAATATGATAAACATATCTGCCGGCATCCTATGGTTAGAAGCTGATATGTTACAGGATGTGGCCAGAGTGTGTATGTATATTTAACCTCTGTGACTACTTTACTTGGTTACGCAGAGGTATGCCGGGCACGGGGGAGGTTATCGGGAAGCAGAGCTGAGTCACAAACCAAAAAATCTCTAAAGAACGTTTGATGCCTCCCGAAGGCACACTTCAAGTCTGTGTGGGTAAAGGGCAGGCAGAGCGCAAAGGAAAACGAGCATCGTTCACTTTCTCCAGATGTGTCCATGGACCATATTGTTAGAACTGGAAAAATAAATTAAAGGCTTGTGGTCGCATCTTTTTCCACGTTACCTGCAGAGGAGAGCCTAGACAGTCTCCAGACTGGTGCCACTGCTGCTTTCACTGTGTGTAATGTGTTTCATATACTCATAGAATCATGTGTGTGGTTCTATCATAACAAATCAGAGAGTCCAAGTTCCCCGTGTGCGCTGTTGAGCCGCTATGCCAGCGAGTAGATGGCATTCACAGGCGAAGTGGCCTCGGAGCTCTCGTTGCCCTCCGTCTCGTCCTTGTCCTTCTTCACTGTGTATTGGCCGATGAAAGAACCGTCTTCGTTGAACTGCCCGTCTCCTCCCTCGCCGTAGTCCACCAGGCTGTCGTCGCTTTCCTTTACGTTGCCATCCAGTGAAGTCTGGCTGCCCTGCAGAGGCTTGTTGTCCTCGTCGCTGCTGCAGGGGCAATGAAACAGCAATGTTAGAAGCTCAAACGGCTCCAGGCTCTCACAATAGCATCAGGTGGACCTGTTTAGCTTCAGGACCCTGTAACACACTATAAGGGGAAAGTAAAGATGTAAAGAAGAGGCAAATGTTTTTTGTAAGTTTAATGTTTTTTGATGTTTCTCTTTATTTTTGGCAGATAAGTTGGCTGAATATCTTTTCCTCAAACAACTAGACCGGGTCTGTTTTAGAACATATACAGCACACATGCAGCACACTGCTATTATCTGAAGTTATCAATGTAGTTTGCAATTGTTGCCCAAAGGTCTGACAGTACAGCAATCCTTTGAGTTCTTAAGCTGCCAACTGTATCAGTGGGAGTATTGATTCAACCCATTTTGCTGCCATATATGCCCCTCTTAAAAAAACACTTACCCCATATTTGCACCAGGACTAAATTATTCACTAATGCTCTTTAAGCTTGCCTTCAACAAGTCCTTCACTAGAGGCATGTACAAAGAAGCCAGCATACACCACATCCATGTGTGAGAGCTTTGGAAACATCTTCTCTTCACATCTTAAATAATCAGGCCCCATCTTATCTTAATGACCTTGTAGTACCATATCACCCTATTAGAGCACTTCGCTCTCGCTCTGCAGGCCTACTTGTTGTTCCTAGAGTATTTAAAAGCAGAATGGGAGGCAGAGCCTTCAGTTTTCAGGCCCCTCTTCTGTGGAACCAGCTTCCAGTTTGGATTCAGGAGACAGACACTATCTCTACTTTCAAGATTAGGCTTCAAACTTTCCTTTTTGCTAAAGCATATAGTTAGGGCTGGACCAGGTGACCCTGAATCCTCCCTTAGTTATGCTGCAGTATGTGTTTATACACCTCTACTGCATTTAATCATTAGTTATTATTAATCTCTTGGTTTCTTCCACAATGTGTCTTTCGTCCTGCCCCCCTGTCCTCACCCCACCCCCTCCCTGAGGCTCTGCTTGAAGTTTCTTCCTGTTAAAATAGTTTTTCCTTCCCACGATGGTCACAGGGGGGCGTTGTCAGACTGTACGGTCTCAGCACCTAAAGGACCTTGACTTGAGTCTTGTGGTGATTTGGTGCTACATAAATATAACTGAACTGAATTGTTCTTTCAGCTCCAATGCTGTTTCACAGTCTAAGAACAAGTGAAGAAGAAATATGGAAACTAAACTCAAATGTAGGAGCAGATTTTAAAGAAGCTCAGCAAGTACAAACACAGGACTGTGCAAGGGTCCTGAGCTGCCCCCATTTCTTTACACTTTGCTGGGAAAAATGGGAAATAGGTGTAGCAGTTTATTGAAACATGGAAAGATGACTGAAAAGTACACAATTACAGGGGAAAACAGAGTTGGTACAAACAAACACTAGTCAATGACCGCTTCCATTGTTCAGCACAGCCTGAACTCTGTTACCTAAGCCTTCTGTAGTCCTTAGTTGTTTAGTTGTTAGTCTTGTAGCGTTTAGTCGTCCTCAGGGATGGTTTCCCAGGCTTCTTGAAAGACACTGGAGAGTGCTCCTCTATCTGCCTTTGGTTCTGTCGAGATGATCCCACTCTACACAATTCATGCTGAAGTCCAGGAGAGACTAGTCCACCACTGATACTCTTCCACAGTGTCTATCCAGCTATGCTTTTACTGCAGTGGCCGTGTCTTTGGGCTCATTATGCAGAAAAATGAAGCTGTTGCCAATCAGATTCCAGATGTCACTGTGTAGTTGATTAAAATCTGAAAGTACTTCTCTGTGTTCATAATTCCATCATTTCTGGGAAGAGCCCATCACCACTGGCTGAAATACAGCCCTACACTGTGACAGAGCCTCTTGCATGTTTTACAGGCACCTGCTCACTGCTGCACATCTCTCTTGACTTCGTCCATACATATTAATGACAATTTCAGACAAAAATGTCAAAATTAGGCTCAGAAACCTGCTGCTTTTCAATCCAGGTCTTATGTAATCTGGCATATCTCAGCCTTTTCTCCCCATTTCCTTTCCTTAACAATGGTTTATTAGAAAAGTTACCTCCTGGTTGTGGCTCAAGGAGAGCAGGTCATCAACTAATGGGGAGGGTTAGTGGTTTAATCCCTGGCTGCTCCAGTCTGCATGTCAAATCATGGCAACATACCAACCCCAGGTTGCTCTCTGATGTATTTTTTATCTAAATAAATAAATACACATATTAAACTTTAAAATAAAGACAGGATTTCATATTGGTTCTTTATCTCTTACATGTACAGAACACTGGTTGTCAACTAGGTGATGTTTTAAAACTTAAGACCAGTGGAAGAAAATCTAGTGGAAGCAAAATGTAAAGAAATAAGGGCTGGTTGAAGATGTATGATCCTACAGTAGGCCTCCTGTAGGATCATACAGCCTATTAATGCCCATACAACAATAACATTTTTGTAAGATTGTTTGCAGCCGAAAAAGAAAAAGGCTCAGCACTATCTGCTGCGTGAGGGAATCTGCAGGAAGGGTGGTACAGTGTTCACGAGCATTTCTTCATCAGTAGCATCTCTGCTCTGCAGCAGGCTGTGTAGTACAGAGCAGGGAGTAGCCGACTGCTTATGTAGCACTGAAAAGCCAAGGTCAACCCTGAAGATAAACCCCAAACAAGCTTCGTCGTGCAGGTCTCAGATAATGAGCTCTGGTCACACACACACACACACACACACACACACACACACACACACACACACACACACACACACACACACACACACACACACACACACACAATAATCCAGGCAGCATCTTCTCAGAAATAATTTGAAAACCCAAATAAACAAACATGTCCTTTAACTATGACACTGTGCATGCTAAAGTATTTAAAAATGAAATCTGGGCAGCATCTGTATTGCATGCTTGATTTCATCTCTGATGTCTCCTAACAGATTTTAACAGGCAGGAGAATTTCATGCATAGTTATACACAGCTGTACGCTAGCATTAACCTTGTTATTAAACCAGTAGCATGACAGAAGAAAAAAGAGTGCATTTGAAGGATGCAAAGGTAAGATGTTCTTATCTCCTTTTGTGTGTTCAGACGCTCACCCCAGAGGACATAATCTACACTCTCAGAACGGCCACGCTTTATACCAAAGGACATTTGCAATATATATATATATGTATATGTGTATATATGTGTGGATACATTTTAGCAAACAAAAACAAGCAAAAACTGAAAGAAAAAACATGACCAAAGCAAATTCAAGGCCAAAAAATAAAAACAAAAAATGAAGAAGCAGGAAGGAAAAAAGCAACACTTTCTGAGCTGAGAAGGAAAAGATGGTAGAAGATGATTATATAAGTATTTTTTTATTCTGACAAGTTTGTGACCTGCTGAACAGATCAAACATGAATGTATACTGAGCGAAGTATCCAGCGGCACAGTGACAGTTGTGTCATCCACACTACTGCTTGGCACAGTTTCTGGTGAAGACAGCCTTAGACCTTCAAACTAAATGATGACATGTTGGCTGAAGGGAAACCGACACGTCCTTATGTGTCAGTGGTACTTGATTAGGAAGCCTCTTCTCTTCAGAGGAACAAAGGAATGAATGTACTCAAAGTCTGCAGTGTAGAACAGAAGCGCAGGAAAAAGTAACAACATCGTTCTTTGACGTTCCCGCCACGCCCAAGCAGACGAGTGAAAATTATGCCTCGATCATGTTTTGGTGTCTTTTCTCTCTTTGCGTGTGATAAGTGCTGGTAATGGACAAACCAATACGACTATCTGTACGTCCATTTAGGCTGAGAGTAGTTTGATGTTTAAAGGCACACAGAAAGAAAACTTTAATGCTTACGCAGCCTCTTTGACAAAATGACAGGACTACAGAGTGCAGCGATTTGTGTTAAACAAAAAGTCAGAAAAATAAATACTCAAGTAAACCACAGTTACTTGAGTATTCTAAGGAAGTGTTTGTGCTTCGGTACTTCCCAGCTCTGTGAGAAGCGCCACTCCAAAAGCAAGCCCAACTTAACGACAGCAGAAACGAACATGCTTCTTCCAGCCGGGTTCAAAAGTGGTTTTGGCCTCGATTCCTGTTAATGGAAACTTTACTGGGGCGATTTTTCCAGTGTAAAGTGGGTGCCACATTGTCCAGTTCAGCATTTGTTTTTAATCAAATGAAGCATCATGCAGGCTACTTTCACCCACTGGTTAGGTTTAGGCACTGAAACCATCTGGTTCGATTCACCAAAAAGATGATAGTTTGTTTAAAATGGCAATCCTAACCTTTTATGTATTTAAAATATAAATACATACAACCAAATGAAACCAAATTCTTTATATTTGATATAAATGTTTTCTCAGTGAACACTGAGATCTGCTCTGTGAGGCCTGAAAGTGTACAGACCTCGTAGATTAGCAGTAAATTTAAAAGAGAACTTTTTATTTACTTAGCTGTGAGTTGGCATCTTTTTATTTAAAGAGAGGCTGTTTTAAATGTTGCTCTTTGCATGATAAAGACATGAATTAAGTGGTGGAGTGCTTGGATCTGTTGCCTTATACCGAGAAGGATATCAAACTGTGCATGTTCTCCTTGTGCCTGCATTCCTGGTTTGTTCCCACAGTCTAGAAAAACACATCTTAGGTTAGCTGGCGATTCTAAATCAGTCATGAATGTAAGGTAGATAAAATGAATGAGTGTAGTTCAATGTGGCTGCATGCTGGGCAAAGATAAGAAACCCAAAGAGCCTCCAATCCACAGGCAGATACGCCGTGTACAAAATCAAAAGTCGTTTGTTGTGCCTTGCTTTGTAGTGGACGCTTAGTTCCTGTTGCCTAGGTAACCTTCTCAATCGGTCACCATGGAGCGGAGCAACGTTTAGGAACAAACAGCAGCTTGACCACTGACTCTGGTCTCTGTCCACATGGAAAAGATATTTATAACTCTTATACAGTTTGTCTGTGTGAAACTTGTAAGAAAAGCACACAAGAGTGAAAACAGATATAAGATCCCTTGAAAAATGAGATAATGAAACTTGTATGTTTTGGATACTAAAACAATGTATGAAAGTAGTAAGAAAGTGGCCACTTTCATGAGTAAATCATAGAAGTTTTTACTATTTCTTTTCCATATGGGAAGTTACAAAGCTGTGAACCACTTCCTGTGTGGCACAGCAACACAACTAACAAAGGAAGTCAACCAACTAAGTACACACTCCAAGAGCGTGTGACCATGTGGACTGTCACAACGAAGCCCTGTAGCATGAAAGGCCTCTGTCGCCTCGGCTCATTTCTGGAAGCACTGCTCTCCAGCTACTGCTGCTAACAGGCAGCACTGTTCTTTTTAAAAACTGTGGGGACAATACCAGGAGACGTTTGGGACAAAGGACAGGCTCTTCTTGCAGAGAGGAAAATCTGCATTCCTAATTTATTTCTACTAAAATTTGAGATACCGCTAGAATCAGAGCTTTGTTGTGTTTTGGGCAAGAACAGCTGGTCATAACTGACGGAGCAAATACAAATTCTGTTTCCATTTTTTCCTGAATATTACATTAAATGCAGTCCAGATGGAGTGTTACTGCTCACATCATGGACTTAAACTGCACCCTCTTTGCAGGCTGACCCAAAAGCCAACAATGCAGGCATGTTGTCAAGTCTCCAAACATGCTACACCTTATCCTGTTCTTACCCCCACCCTCACACCGCTTACCCCTACATGCTCAGGCCAAAAGACTTTGCTGAAAACCAAAGTACCTGTTCTCGTTCTCGTTCCTGTCATGGACAGATGACCCATTTCAGCATTGGGGGAGAGAGAGGGACAAGATGTGAGGAACCACATAAGACGGCAGGAAGGAAGGAAGGAAGGAAGGAAGGAAGGAAGGAAGGAAGGAAGACAAGTTCCACATTGTGCATGCATGGGTTAGTGTAAAAACACACAGCTGAATGGGCTGGACCCTGAGCTGTTCACTGACAGAAAACAGGTTCTGGAGGAGGAAACACATCATTAAGCACAGCATGCTGGGGTCAAACGCTCATTGCACCTCTCGAAGTTACCCTGAACACACAGTGTGAGTCAAAAAACAGCAGCTGTCATTCTAAGTACAAGCCCAGTTATGAACGTTATGTGGGACCCATTTGTGTGATTTAATGGACCCATTTAGGACCCGGGGTCACAAATGAAATTCTGATGTTAAAGTTGTGGTGATGAAAGTTAAGATGCCCTCTCACACAGCTCAGTTAGAACACGTCCACTTCAGATTTAGGAAGCAGGTTAAACTTAAAAGGTCTTTAGTCTAAAGGGACTGTTGGCAAATTAAGGGACAGGTTCATTCGTCATGAAGAAGAATGAGGCCACAGAGCTCAGTGGAACCTGGAAGGAGCAAAAGATGCAACTTACCACATGTCCTTGACATTACACAGAAGCCTTTACACAGTACATGGTATCGAGTTTGAATATATTTGTGTGCGCACTTCAGAGAGAAACACGGACGTGTTCCAAACTAGATAAAGGGTGTAGCTGGGTCAGGAGATCGTCTAACTCTGCTCCTTCAAAGAGTCGCGCACACCAGTCTGAATGTGCACACACTCCAACACACACTTTACTGCACTTGTGTTATTGCTGTTCCAGAAGTTTTACTCATAACTAGCTACACTTACAACCAAATTTCCCCTTGTGGGACAATTAAAGGATTATTCTATTCTATTCTATTCTATTCTAACCAACTACCAACAAGGAGAATGTGCAAGAAAAATGTGCCAGACGTGGTCTGAACACTAACTTGTGTTTACAAGTTATTCACATGTATGTTGTTAGAATAGTGAGCAGCTTTATGTACACATCACGCTTTACTTCAAACACTCTAGTCTTAAGGATCAATCAGTCACAGAGTAGGAGGAGCCTCACCCTAACCCTGGCCTCAACAGAAAGGCGCTAACACGGAGCTAACCCCTGTGCATGCTGTTCCCCACAGAGCTCAGCTGTAGGTGTACTCAGACTGAACTCCCTTTAGAAACTGGCACCAACATTGGGCTGATGCTTTTACAGTAATAATTAAAGAAGCTGGACACAGCTGCCATTTCAATTCAAATGTTGAAAGACGTTTCATTTGGCTTTCCTCTAAGCAGCAGTGCTTCGTGGTCTTATAGTGTTTCTGGTTCAGTTCTTTATTGCTTAAATTTTAAACTCAGGCTATGTAACGTTGGTACATATGCAGGTTCATTACTGAAGGGGCTGCAGACCACCGTGACTGATAACTGCTGACGAGCTTTACATGAGCATATAACAGGAATAGTAATGCAGAACAAGCTATTTATACTTACTGGTAATCAAAGGATCCATCCTGGTCTTTTTGATCCACCGCGTCCAAGGGGAGATCTTTTTTATCTCGCACTGCCAAGGAAGACAACAAAGGTGTTAGGCTGCAGCTGTTCGAGTCAACAGATTTTCAGGGCTTTATGTTGAAAATACAATCATTTAGTTAGTCCCCATCTGCTGGTTTAGTTGCTTTCAGTTGTCACATACTAAGTTTACACTGTGTACTGTGTATAGAGTGTATGAACAATGAGTGTGGGCTCGTCCTATATGAAGCAGCTCACTCCAAGGCTTTGTTCAGTTGCTGCCAATTAAACAAGAATTCACATGTTCAGGTCATTTAGTGACGTTTCTTCAGGCCGAGTGGAACATGGAACACAGAGCATTTATGTGAAGGGACAGTCAAGCCTGTTTTAGTAGCAGTTGCATTATGTTGGGTTTGCAGAGAGAGGATCAGGGCCACTGGGGAAAAGGTTTCTTTCTCTTTCCCAGTGGCCCTGATCCTCTTCAGTAGCTTTGTGAGTTGGTCAGATTTGTTAAAAACGTTTAGTTTTAGTTCCACATGCCTCACTGAAGTCAGTCTCTGTTATTGGTCACTGGTCTGTTATATTAGTTTGTCACTGAGTCAGCACCTACCCAGAGCCTTTGTGAAACAGCTCATGTAGCCACCACCTGGACATTACAAAAACTGTAAAACATTAACGATACTCTGATTTAAGTCATTCATGACCATTACGTTATAATACACAAAACAGCAATCCAGCTAAATGCTGTAAAACCTCGAAACCCTGATTTTAAATTCTGAGTTTTCCATCATCATATTTGTCATGTCTGTTTCCAACTTGTTCATGCACAGAGCAGCTGGCTGTCCTCCCGGTACTGACTGATCAGCTGGAGTCAGGCTGCCTGCTGCGACTCTGGCTGCTAACAACAACAAGCTGTGCAAAGAGAAACCTACAAATCCCTCACAGCAGATATTCACCCCTCTTCATTTCCTCCTGTTCCCAAAGGTTTGTTGTTGTTCCTTTAACCTTCCTGCCTTCTTGGGACCTTTTTGTGCCACTGCTATGTGTTAAATGGCTGCCATTTCCACTGTGTTCAGTGGAATATAACCAAACTTGCCACAGGATAGTTTTTACCTGTCAATGTTAATATTCCAGTGTGAATTCCTTAAATCAGCCTAAAATGGCTGAGCAGCAGAAATCCCCACACCCATCACCCTGGGGACCATTTTCTGCCCATTGACTTCCATTATAAACGCTATTTTTCAACCCCAAATTATCATCATATGATTTTATTTTTTCTTCTTTTCTTGGATGTCAATGAAGACTCAGGGCCTTGAAGTTTTAATTTTTAAATTGCAAAAAAAATGCAAAAAAAATAATGGCAGGTCAAAATGTATGTTGGTGCCAATCTTTGGTCCATCTAAAGGCCTACTTATAATGACAATCACATATTACTTCAACTGGTTTTTTGTGGAAATATTTAGTTTCGTTTTTTGGTTTTTGGGGCTTATAACACAGGGCGCTCATGTAATAACACTGGGATTTGAAGGGTTAAAACAACGAAAATATAATTAAAACTTTACATGAATATTTCAGGGAGAAGTAGTTTTACAAGGTTGGCTAATTTAAAGTGGAATAAAATATGGATATATGGTCTTTTTATGGCGTGGCTGAGAATGGTCCCTAGGGTGATGGGTGTGAGTTTTTTAAAGGATGGCAGGAGGGTTAAAACAAACGAGTTCTGTAAAGCTCAGTATTGAACGTCTAGGCGGGGCAGCCGTCTTCACAAAATTGGATGTAAGGAATCATCTTTATCATCATCTCTTGGTCAGAGTGAGAAACAAATGGAAAACTGACCGCTCTTCCTCCATACTGCGCTGAAAGATATCTAAGAAGACTTCAGTCACCTCGTGTTGTCTTGTCCAGAGACCCCGTCTGAAACCACCCACCCATTTTCACTTATCAAAAGAAATATTTAAATAAAAAAGACCAGTGTGCTTTCCTTTCTTTAAAAAAGTGCATGACAATATTGATTCATGTTTTGATGTTGTCAAAGGTAAACACATGAGTTCACAGCGCAGTGTGCCACTCGCCCTTTGGTAAGCAGCTGTTCTTCCTCTCGTCATAGCTGCTTCAGTAAAACAATATTTATTTATACTTTAAGCCAATGAAGAGCACATATTTACAATCCACAGCAAAAGAAGATCAATCAGGTATTGTTTTCTTATTTTCTACACACACGTGTCTGTTTGTATTACTCAGAAATCCCTTTGTGTTAGGACGGCACCAGCACAGAAACACAGGCCCAGCCACAGTCCTGGGAAAACAGACTGTATGTCAAAGCAGACAGCTTCACACCACACTGGCATTCCTTGAATTCAGTGGACAGACGGAAAAAGTCAAGGTGGTAGTTTAGTGGCCCATCAGGAAACAAGAGCACCTTCAACACGCTGAATGTTTGCATGAGATGCATCATCACCTGGTCACCAGAGGAGCTGCAAGAACAGACCTCTGCCTGGGTGCAGACACAGCAAAGTAAGACTAGCTTACATTCGCTCAGAGCAAAGATTCCTTTCAGGCTCACTGCTTGTTGTTTGTTGAAGGTTTGATTCACTACAATACACAGACCTGCTTCTTGAACCCAGATGCTTCAGAAAATGCTCTGCTGATGAAACCTCAACAACATCCTTCCACCCAGACGTGTAATGGCATGAGGCGTGGGAGATGGAATCAGTAACTAGCTCTAACTATGTCCTTGTAGCCACATATGACAGCACTGGCTAAAATACCCACGACTCTCAAGACCATTAAGACCATTGATCTTCTAAAAGGAAACTACCTGGATGAACTGTGACATTACTGACATATTCTTCCTCTCGGCATTAAAGAATATTCAGTCTCTGTGTGGCGCCACAAATTCAATAATCACTTCTTCCCACTGTCTGCACGATTTCACTCAAGAGAATAGACTTGCATAAGAATGCTGTGGGAAGCTTACCTGGGTACTTTCCTCCACGACTCCGCTTGATGAAACAGACGATGAGGAGGATCAGGATGATAAGGGCGATGGCGCACATCAATCCGATGAACCAGCCCTGCGTGGCTATGTCTACCTGGTCTATGTAGGCTGGAGTCGTGTCAGAGAGACAAACAAGACGAGACAGTGGACAAGAAAGAAGAACGCAAAGAGAGTTAGTATTTATCTGAGGAGGGTTAGGGTTAACCCCCTAACCCATCCCAGAGCGCTCAGCAGACGTCAACAGCTCAGAACCAATATGTCATCATTTCCCCAAAAACATGATCCTGTCCATGTCAAGTGATTGCCTAAAAATTCACACACTGTGTGATTTAATCTGAAAAATGTACTTTTTTCCCAACAAGTCAGGGACTTTGTTTCACAGCTGCCACAGTCACCGTGTAAGCCTGCATGAGGAGTTTCTCTGCTGGTTGACAAACTGTACCAACCGCCTACCAAGATCAGTCATTTTTACCGGTGCTTGATTTATCCCAGCTTCATGTTCATGTCCCATATTTGGGACTTGAGCTGACAGCTTGTTTTAGTCATTAGTCTTAACTCACCAGAAGGATACCGCACTGGTCAAAAGTTTTGGAACACCCTGATTTTTCCAGTAATTTATTGCAGTTCAAGTCATCCAAGTCCAACGAATAGATCGAAATGGTACAAAGGGAAGTGGTTAAAAACAAAGCTTACCCCAAACTTAAAACTAATGTGCACATACGAAAAGGCCTTTTTCAGGGACAACATGGGCTAACAGTTTAAATCTGTTCTGCAGCAATGGAGGCTGATCAAGCCTTGAAAGCTGCTGCTGGTACTTCCTACAGCTGTTCCAGCTTTTCTGGATTACTCCCCGCTCTGTCTGCACAAAGCAGTGCTGGGACACACTGATGTACTCTCGTGAGCATCAGCTGAACAGTACTCCAGAAAGTAGAGTGTTGCTACAAAATTTAACAATGGAAGAGACACAGACCATCATAACACTTATAAATGCAGGTCTGTCCTGCAGAGAGACAGTGAGTCCAGCTTCCTTCAGCCAAAGGCTCAGAAACTGTGACAGGAGGAGGTCTGCAGACCCAGAGACACGCCTGAATCAGAGGACAAGTTTCTGAGAGTTAACAGCTGTGTGACGGCGGCTCACAGGACAACAGCTTCAAGCAGTTTAATCGTGGTCGTAGTGAGAAAGTCTCAGTTTCAGCTGTGAAGAGAAACTTCGAGCTGCAGGTTTGACAGGACGAGTTGCAGCAAGAAAGCCAGACGTCAGAATGAGACAAAGAGGCTCGTCTGGGCCATGAAACACTGGACTACTGAAGGGGCTGTTTTGGTGGATCCAGGGTCGGTGACTTGTACACAGTGAGAGGCCCCCTGAACCAAAACAGCTACCACAGCACCCTGGAGCCCCATCAACCACCCAAAACATAAGTGCCAGAGCTGTTTTCAGAGTGCAATGAGGCATTAAAATAGTGGTGTTCTAAAACTTTGGACCAGTAACATATATCTGCATATATATACAGATATATGTACTAGAGATGGACCGATCCGATATTACGTATCAGTCTGATACTGACCTAAATTACTGGATCGGATATCAGAGAAAAATAAAAAATGTAATCCGATCCATTAAATATCAAAAAAGCACCTCACAAAACTTGTGACAACGTGCAAGAAAGATGTTGAATCTATTTAATTATTCTTGAAAAATAATTGATTTCTGTGCATTTTTTTTCACACTGCATCAAATTAAAGTTGATTACGTCGATTAAGCATCATGAGGTGGAGGGTGGTTCCCTATTTTTGTTTTTGCTGGGAGTTGGAACCCTATTAGTTAGGTTGCTTAATATTTATGCTAAGTACTCTTTAAAATACCAGAATAGGGAGGATGGAGCAGGTTTAAGTTTATTAGATTGATCAGTGTTGCTGAACTGTGAAATATTTTGGGTGCAGTGCATTTTTTGCATACAGGTATAACAGAATAGCTTTAGTGTTGTTGTTTATTTAAACTTGAGTATGAACAAAATGCAGCAAGATATTAAAAAAACAGTTTTATTGATTAAAAACACTATATCGGATTCATATCGGTATCGGCAGATATCCAAATTTATGATATCGGTATTGGACATAAAGAAGTGGTATCGTGCCATCTCTAATTTTTACACACACACAAGACAGAAGCAATAAATATATCTCTTCAAAGTCGAACTTTTTAGTTGGTTAAAAACACAGGGCCGTGAACTACCAGAAGTAAGCACACGATCTAAACTAACTTGTACTTCTTGTCATGTAGATTCCATTTCTAAAGACAAGCCCTCTAAATCTGAGGCATTTCAAATGTAGAAGGTTTACTGCTGGGAAAAAACAAGACAGATATCAATTAAACAAACCGTGACAACCCGCCCTGCACTGACTTAGTCAGTGTAGACATTACTTGTGTCAAATACGTAGAGGAGCCCAGCTGGCTCCCATCCTTGCTCCACACGGCCAGGTGTGGTCTCACCTGCTTTGGTCTTAAAGGTGACAGATTTGCTGCTGACACTGTTGAATAGATGGGAGTAAACTCTCAGGTGATACACGACGCCTGGGATGAGATCCACCACATTAATGGGGGGCTGTTGACTCTTTACATCTTTCTTCGTCTTGTTACCTTGGAAACACAATTAAGAGGCCAATCACACTCCAGGGGTGTGGCCTTCGCTCCACTTTAAAACCGGGCATACAACAGTCTGCAGCATCACAGTGCTTTACAGGGAGACTGCTGTTGTCTGATAGCAGGGTGGCGGTGCTGAACTGAGGCTGATAGCAATGCTGCGACCACAGTGGCCATAAAGATTCACTCATCTCTTTAAATTAGTAAAACATATGGATTAAACAGTATGTATGCCTGGCCACAACACTTTATGAAATTCTCACTTCAGACAATATGTTCTGATTAATCTTACTGTTTTATGGCCCTCTGACTACTTTTTTCTTCAAGGTCAAGTTCCCTGCAGAATCCTGATCATTGCTAGTAGTGGAATAGTGAGGCACAAGGACCACTGTCTGTCAAGCAAAACCACTGGAATACAATCGGCTGAAAAGCATGTTTTAAAACATGTTCAGCACCGTCTTCTATCAGTACACAACGTTGGTGCTGGTTACCATCAATAGATCTACTCTGCATTAGTTTATGTTCACAAACTAGCAACAAAACCAGTAACTCCGTGGGACATAAGCAGACCTTTGAAATTCTGCGGGGTTTGTCTGCATCGTTCTTTCACAGGAAAGCATTATCAAGATTATCAGGTAAGTTTATACAACTGCGATATTACATTTGTTTCAATGTCTGATACCCTCCATCTCTCTTCAAATAAGACATTTTTAATGTCAACAACACTTTTTACCTGGATAAAAGTCACTTTGCAGCAGCTACTTTACAATGGGAATGTTCTTTTTGGCTGTAAACTACTTGATATTCTTTCATAAAAGTTTAATTTCCAGAAATCATTCTTTTGAAAAATTCTGGAAATCACTTTCGGGCAGCGATCACTGGAAGCGAGTGTGGCTCGGTATACTGACTACTTAAAGAAATGATGAACTGTATTGTCTCTATTAACTTCTTAAGGTGCCTCAACAAAAAAGAATAACATCTAAACTGGAAACTTTGTCCACAAGCTGTTGTATGTCCAGTTACATTATGTAGCAGTTCTCGCGTCGGCATATTTCCCCGAGACTTTGTGGAGGTTCCACACCCCTGGAGACTGGAGTACTCCTTCACCTACATTTAGGCGAAGGAGACTTTAACACGGAGGCTTTTTCTCCTTCGACCATGCGCATGAAGGTCAGGATTTTGGATCGTGTTTTAATAAGAAACACAGTGAACTGTTTGATGTGCTTGGGAAAAAAAGAGCATATTTTATTATATAAAATAGCGCATATATTATATCATAATTTGCGAACACTTTATTTTCAAGCTAATTGTGCGGCTCGTTGCACCCGGCCTGTCGAGGAAAGGCTGCAGTATTGGGCTCAAGCTAGTTGGTCTCTCATCCAAACAGTCTTCATTTAAAAAGTACTTTGTAGCCCGAACAATGCAGGCAGATTTTCCCAAGTCAGTGCAGCTAGCCAAACAACAAAGAACCGCTGACTGCTTAAGTGATAAAGTGAAAGTGGACAGTATAGGCTTGATTTTAAACCCATTGTTGCAGCTAGGTGCAGAACAAAAGCGACCCCCTTAAACTGCTTTTATTGTCCCTGTTTTTCCCCAGGTTATTGGTTCTGTTACTAGTCAGCTAACAGCAAGTCTATTGACGGCAACCAAACAACCAACCCAGTGACATAAAGCTCCATGCTGAGAGAAGATGCTACTAAACAGGATTTTAAAATGTAAGCACTTTGAGTTAAATCTATGTCAGGTGGCAAAACATTGCTCGTCTCAGTTAGACACCAGACCCCCTCCTATCTCTAAGGTCCAGGCAGAAAGCAGTGATGACAGCCTGCACGTTTTCAGCAGAAACACATCTGTCATGCCAATGAGACACACTCTGAAGAGGCAGCATGAAGTGACATCATGCACCATGCTGTTAGCCACACAAAGTGAAAGTCATCCAACATGGGTGATTACCAAGCCATGCTACAGCAGTCCTCAAACCAGCCAAAGAAAGCACAGACACACAAAGAACATGCTGTTTGACAAAAGTCAGTGAAGTGTTATGAGAAAGGCTTTTTGTCATTTGTAAAATGATATCCATCTGCCACGTCTTTCTTTTGTGTATGTGGCTAAATAATTATCCTCATGACAGTCAGCCCTATTTGAAAACAGTGTATTTAAATGCTAGTTTATTGTTTTCAAGCAGCTGTAAAAAAATCAAAGTAACCCAATCCTTTTCCTAAACAATATATTCTCCACATTCTTTTTTTAAGTATAACAATCAAACATAAAAAGGCAGTTTGTGGCAGTTTTTGTGGCTAGCTCTGCCTGATACGTCCCTTAACTCTGGGGACAGGTTGTCCAGGGTTAGTAACCTGTTCGGGCAGTGTGTTGGGACGTGTTCGTGACCTGTAGCGACATGTAGCGGGGCCTTCTCGGTAGCCCTAACCCACCAGCATCAATAATGCACTCCTGTCGTAATGTCGTAAAGTCTATGACCTGACCTACATGCATTCTGTATTGAGTAGAGATAGTATCAATACAATTTCTTCAATGCATTTAAAACCCTGTTGGGATTTGTTTTCTTGTTTTCTTTCTTTCTTTGTTGTTTTTGTAACCGTATAAAGTAGAGTACAACAGCAGAACAGGAGAGACCCGAGGCGGCCGCCGAGCGGAGAGTCAGGTGAACTGAACTTCAAGTAAGAAGTTATGAGCTGAAGTCTATCTGGGTCAGATATAAACCAAGTTTAGGTGCAGTTTATTTTCGTTATGCTGACTTTTTACAGTCAGAGAAAATATTACACCTTTCATATTGAGGTGAAAAGGAACCGTTTGTCCCGGACTTCAGCTACAATGGAAAAAGACACAAAGCTGGAGTTATTCTGTCTTTGCTGCACAGCTGCCTTCTTCTCCTCTCATTCTCCCCCCTCTCTCTCCTGTTGCTACTTCAGTCATGAAACTGATCAGTGATCAGCTGATTGGCTTTTCGCTCTTGTTTGTTTATCGCCCACTTTGCGCCAGAAAGAGGAAACCAGCAGAGGGTTGATATGAATGAGTTGAAGTTATGAACTGTTTCTGAGAGACAAATAACACCAGGATCCTTTTCTAAGCAGCTGACAGCTGGTAACTGTGCAGGGGCGGGTCTAGCAAAGGGGGGCAGGTAGGGCATTAACAGGGAGAGGGGGGCACAAAGAAATACTTTTCTTTCTTATTCTCATTTAAAATGTCTCACTTTTATGAAATAATTATCTGAATCTTACGACCAAAGTTTTAATCTGATGTCAAACGTATAGAAATCATACATATACCAACAAGACTGTGCATCACTGTCACAGCAGCGTTTGTTTTCATTCAAAGGCTTCATGGCTTTTCCTATAATACCTGGGGGGCCGGTCTCTAGTCAAAATGCCCGGGCCCATTTTTTGTCCCAGTCCAGCCCTGGTACTTCCTGTTTACTGTTGGGTTGTAGTTAGCGCTGGTTAGCTCCAGTAGCTAGCTAATTCTCAATTGGAAACAAACAAAAAAAACTTAATAAACGAAAAAAAAATGTGGACTCTTTTGAAAGAGTCTTAATAAAATCAATAAACACACATTATAAACAGCTTTACTACTTTACACGAGTTCATCTTACTCTACAATAGGTTGGAAGAGGTTAAGATTTATTTATATCACTTACTATGTTTTTTGAAACATAGTAAGTAAACATCCCTGTTGTCTCAAAAATGAGAGAAGAAGCGTCTCCTTTGTCTCAGTCAACCTAAAAACAAACACACCCTGGCTGGACAGATCTCCCGTTAGGCCTGCTGTGGTTTATCTTATCAGGGTTACATACACTGTGTCCTCAAACATGACCTACCACGGATCAAGAGTCTGTATGAAAGAAAAGTCTAGATCTCACATCCTGACAGCCTGACAGTGCAGGGATGGGTGAGAGAAGTGGATAGCATCAGACCAATCACATCACTTCCTTTCCTCACACGCAGACATTAATAATTAAAATCTCAGCACAAGTACACAAACACATCTCCATCCTTTCTCTGCTCCAGACTTTATAGACTGGGCTGAGGCAAACAGCAGTAACTGAGATGTCTGATCAGAGCTACCCAATTTTGCTCTGTGAAAAGGTGGGATGATTAAAAGCCAGAGTACACAGCACTTCATACCAAGCAGGTGAGTATGGCAGCCTTGGTGAGCAACAAAGACACAGTTAAACAGCCGTTCAAAGAAAGCAGCCCATCCCAGCGCCGGGCCAACAAAAGCAACGCAAAGAAAGGCAACAGAACTCATAGATCCATGCACATGGTGCACTCAAACAGGCAGAACCAAAGAGTGAGAGGGAAAATAATTTTGCAGATGCTGCCTAAAAACGGCTCTCAGTTAACGTGTAACTGCGAAGTATATGGAACAAAATGTCATCTTTCATCTGAATATAATTACATTGAGATGTACCATTTCTGTTGTGACTAAAATCAATATTATGCTGATCTGGAAAACATTTTCAAGACTGCTACTGCACATCCAGATGTTTTCCTCTCATCCAGTCACATTAAAATCTAACTATAGATTGTGTTACTGCAGCTAAATGATATATTGTTAGGTCTTTTCAAGCTGATTACGTGTGAATTGTTAGCAAAAGAATGCACTTATAAAAAGCAAAAAGGAAGCCAATTTGAACCATCTGACCTCAAGCTTGCACACACAGTATCAAACAGACGTTTATGTTGACTACATCTATTTATTTCATTCTAATGTTCGGTTTGAAGATGCTTATGAGAACTTCAAACCTGGATCCGGGCTCCTCCTTGCCACCAGGCTGTAGTGTCCTGTATTCCCGTAATGTACAAATGGTGTGATAACATTTGGTTTTACCTGTTCAGCTCCACCTACACTCTGCACCTTGAAGCTCCGGTTTTACTTCACTATCCTTGTAGATCTACTCTGTAGTCAGAACATTTAGTTCACAGTTTATATCTCAGTAGCGCAGTTTGAGCTTGGTCTGATTTCTTACTGTCCAGAGTGAACTCTAGTACAAAATCGCTGCTGCTGGCCGGGAAGTTGTGCGTCCAGCTGACTTTAGCGTAGTTACTGTTAGGCTCCACCGTCAAATTCCAGATCTCTCGCCCAGAAGCCACTACACAAGGTAGGGTAGGTGGGGGGTGGGGTAGGGGACAAAGGGTTCAAAGTTGGAAGCAAGAGGCAGAGAGGGCACAGTTACAACAACCACACTCTGTTTGGACCCGTGCAGACTGCTAGCCTTGCACAAGTCTTCCTACAACAAAACAGACTCCATGCTTTGCTCAAAATCAAACTAAGAGCATTAAACTATATTCACCCCCCCCCCCCACCCAAATATATCTGCATAGTTTTTTTAAGTTCATGAATGAATGAATTGTAATGTTTACTTCTGAGTTAGCGATTACCGTATTTTCACGACCATAAGGCACACTTAAAAGTCTTAGATTTTCTTCAAAAAGTACGGCGCGCCCTATAGCGCAGTGCGCCCTGTGTGATGTAAGGAGGACGTAGTAGAGAACACCATGAGAACGCTAAAGGGTGAAGTGTGGGCGCAACCCTGAAAATGGCAAAGAGACACGCTTATGAAGCACAGTTTAAACTGAAGGCCATCAGCTACGCGGAGGAACATGGAAATCGAGCAGTGGCGAGAGAATTTAAGATTAACGAATCGATGGTTCGCAAATGGAGGAAGCTAGAAAACAAGCTCCGGCAGGTCAAGAAAACGCAGCTGAGTTTCCGCGGACATAAGGCGAGGTGGCCCGAGTTGGAGGAAAGACTCGAGCGGTGGATCATCGAGCAAAGAACGAGCGGGAGAAGCGTTTCGACGGTCACCATTCGGCTAAAAGCAGTTTCACTTTCACTTTTTATGAAACGGTGCCATTTTTCCATCCGGACCAGGACTACGGTAGCGCAGCAACTTCCAGCGGATTATAAGGAAAAGCTGGCCATCTTCCGCTCCTACTGCAGCAAACACACCGGCGACAAAAACATCCAGCCCAGCCACATCACAAACATGGACGAGGTCCCGCTCACTTTTGACATCCCGGTGAGTCACACTGTGGAGAAGAAGGGGACCAGCACGGTAGCGATACGCACAACGGGGTATGAAAAGTCGTCTTTTACTGTTGTGCTTGGCTGCCATGCTAATGGACAGAAACTGCCGCCTATGGTGATTTTTAAGCGAAAGACTTTGCCTAAAGAGAAGTTTCCAGCAGGAATCATCATTAAGGCAAATGAAAAGGGCTGGATGGATGAGGAAATGATGAAAGAGTGGCTGAGGGAGGTGTATGTAAGGAGACCAGGTGGTTTTTTCCACGCATCACCATCGCTGTTGATCTGTGACTCTATGCGTGCCCATCTCACAGCCGATGTGAAAAAACTAGTGAAACAAATGAACTGTGAGCTTGCTGTCATTCCGGGAGGCCTGACAAAGGAGCTCCAACCGCTGGACATCGGTGTGAACCGCCCGTTCAAAGTAAGGCTGCGAGCGGCCTGGGAGCGATGGATGACCGATGGAGACCACAGTTTCACTAAGAGTGGAAGGCAGCGCCGGGCGAGTTACGCCACAATTTGCCAATGGATTGTAGATGCTTGGGCTAACATGTCTGCTGGCACTGTTGTTCGAGCTTTCGCAAAAGCCGGCATCGTTTCCGAGGAGCCGCACGGCACGGAAAGTGACTCTGACGGTGAAGACAGTGAACCTGGCATGTTTGATGGAGATTTAGCGCAGCTGTTCAATTCAGACACAGAGGATGAGGACTTCGATGGGTTTGATTGATGATAAAAATGTGAGTACCAAACTTTGTTTTGCTCCTGCTTTATTTTTAAATACGCACACTTGTATGCTTGTGTGTTGTTGATGATGACGATTACTGGTAATAAAAATGTGAGTACCAAACTCAGTTTTGCTCCTGCTTTATTTTTAAATACGCATACGGTACTTGTATGTGCCCTATGATCCAGTGCGCCTTATGTGTGTGTTAAATACAGTAATGGCACACATAACTGAGACTGCGCCTTTTAGTACAGTGCGCCTTATGGTCGTGAAAATACGGTACTTCAGTCCTAACACTGCCAGTGTCCAAGTACTAATCAAACTACTGAAACTCAAAGCCATCATGTTCTGTGAAATAAACGTTTAGGTTCTCGCTCCTTGACCAGGAAGATATTTGCTGGCTACAACCCAGTATTTTGTAGCAACTCCCCACTTTTTGTGCAGCAGGTACAGCACAGCGTATCGAAGGAAACACTGATGTAGCTTACTGTTCAGGTAGGAGAAGACAGTTCAATTCAAATGGTAGACAGACAGTAAAACTAGAATGGGACAACAGCAAGTACCCAACACATTCTGGTCAATACGCTTGGTGGTGAACAGCATTGGAAGGATGGTAGTGGTTGCCTCAGTAGTAGAAGTGGTGGCAATAGTAGTGGTTGAAGTCGTAGTTGTAGGAGTGGGAGTAGCTGAGGTACTAATGGTTGTAGGAGCAATGGTAGTAGGAGAAGGATAACCAAAAGGAGTAGGAGTAGGAGTGAAACCAGAAGCCACAAAGGAGTCGGTAAGCTCGACTACAAAAGAGGAGGAGAGAGCAGAGGGTTAAAGACAAGGTAGCAGGAACGTCAAACACAACGATGAACAATGACGCACACACACATGCTTACTCGCACACGCATGCATACGCACACGCATGTATACACACACGCATGCATATGCATGAGAAGTCAAAGAATCCCTGAGCAGAAACACTCGAGGAATTCCCTGCAAGATCACAGTCCTCATTTGAGAGCATCTCATTCCAAGGATCCATGCACGTTATTCTTCTGTCATCAGGAGGACAGATGTTGTCTCGTAATGTGTTTCGTCCAAAGTGTTAGGCTACGTGGGACCCAGTGTTTATGCTCTTTGATTCAGGGTTTCTAATGATTTCCTGATTTCTAGTTCTTAGGTCTTGTTCCTCCCTATGATCCTCGTGTCTCATCGACTCAGATAAATTAATAATAAATTAGATAAATAATGCTAATATCATTTGTATTTTTTCACTGTAATCATCTTGAACCTGTTGATATTTATTTGTAATATAAATCGCTATTCTAATGAATTGGTATTTATTAGAATGTATATTTATTGTACTCCTCTTTGAATCGCTACCTTATCGTGGTGGAGGGGTTTGTGTGTCCCAGGGATCCCAGGGGCTATGTTGTCTGGGGGCTTTTGCCCCCTGGTAGGGTCTCCCATGGCAAATTGGTCCTGGGTGAGGGACCAGACAAAGAGCGATTCAGAAGACCCTTATGAAAAGAATATCGAGGGAACAGTTTACCCCGCCCGGGATAGGGTTACCGGGGCCCCGCCCTGGAGCCAGGCCCGGGGAGGGTGCCCGAGGGCAAGCGTCTGGTGGCCAGGCCTTAGTCCACGGGGCCCGGCCGGGCACAGCCCAAAGAGGAGACATGGGTCCATCCTCCCGCAGGCCCACCACCCGCAGGAGGCGCCATAGGGGTCGTGTGCATTGTGTGCCGGGTGGCGGCCAGGAGCGGAGGCCCTGGCGGACTGACCCCCGGCTGCCAAGACTGGCAATAGGGAGATGGAATGTCACCTCTCTGGTGGGGAAGGAGCCTGAGTAAGTGCGTGAGGTTGAGAGGTACCGGCTAGATATAGTCGAGCTCACCTCTACGCATGGCTTGGGCTCTGGAACCAGTCTCCTGGAGAGTGGCTGGACTCTGTCTCAGTCTGGAGTTGCCCCTGGTGAGAGGCGGCGGGCTGGGGTGGGTATTCTAATATCCCCTCGGCTTGCTGCCAGTACGTTGGGGTTTTTCCAGGTGGACGAGAGGGTTTGTTCCCTGCGCCTTAGGGTCGGGGAACGGGTCCTGACTGTCATCTGCGCTTATGCGCCAAGTGGCAGTTTGGAGTACCCAGCCTTCTTAGAGTCCCTGGGGGGGGGGGGTGCTGGAAGGTTCTCCACCTGGAGACTCTGTTGTCCTGCTGGGAGACTTCAATGCTCATGTGGGTAAAGACAGTGAGACCTGCAGGGGCGTGATTGGGAGGAACGGCCTCCCTGATCTGAACCTGAGCGGTGCTTTGTTATTGGACTTCTGTGCTAACCACAGTTTGGCCATAACGAACACCCTGTTCGAACATCAAATCAAATCAAATCACTTTTATTGTCACATCACATGTGCAGGTACATTGGTACAGTACATGTGAGTGAAATTCTTGTGTGCGAGCTTCACAAGCAACAGAGTTGTGCAAAATACAATAATGTAAACAAGCAAAATACAAGAATGGCTACATCTGAAACTAATAAACATAAGAGTGTCCATAAGTGCACGTGGCACCAGGACACTCTAGGCCGAAGATCGATGAACGATTTTGTAATCGTATCAGCAGACCTGCGACCATATGTTCTGGACACTCGGGTAAAGAGAGGGGCTGAGCTGTCAACTGATCACCACCTGGTGGTGAGTTGGATCAGGTGGTGGGAGAGGACGCTGGACAGACCTGGTGCACCTAAACGCGTAGTGAGGGTGTGCTGGGAACGTCTAGCAGAGGCCCCAGTCCGCGAGATCTTCAACGCACACCTCCGGCAGAGCTTCAACAGCATTCCGAGGGAGACTGGGGACATTGAGTCCGAATGGACCATGTTCAGCGTCTCCATTGCCAAAGCTGCTGCATTGAGCTGCGGCCGCAAGGTAATTGGTGCCTGCCGTGGTGGTAATCCCCGAAACAAATGGTGGACACCAGAGGTGAAGGGAGCCACCAGGCTGAAGAAAGAGTCCTATCGGGCTTGGTTAGCCTGTGGGACTCCGGAGGCAGCCGACAGGTATTGACAGGCCAAGCGGAATGCGGCTCGGGCAATGGCTGAAGCAAAAACTCGTGTGTGGGAGGAGTTCGGAGAGGCCATGGAAAAAGACTTTCGGACTGCCTCGAAGAGATTCTGGCAAACCGTCAGGCGTCTCAGGAGGGGAAAGCGGTGCTCTACCTGCACTGTGTATAGTGCTGGCGGAGCGCTGCGGATGTCGACTGAGAAAATTGTCAGGCGGTGGAAGGAATACTTCGAGGATCTCCTTAATCCCACTGACACGTCTTCCGAGGAGGAAGCAGAGTCTGGGGATGAGGGGAATGACCCGCCAATTTCCGGGGGGGAGGTCACTGAGGCAGTTAAACAACTCCTTGGTGGCAGAGCCCCTCGTGTTGATGAGGTCCGCCCCGAGTTCCTGAAGGCTCTGGACGTTGTAGGGCTGTCCTGGTTGACACGCCTCTGCAATGTTGCGTGGAGATCAGGGGTATTATCTGTGGACCGGCAGACCGGGGTGGTGGTCCCCATCTTTAAGAAGGGGGATCGGAGGCTGTGTTCCAACTACAGGGGGATCACACTCCTCAGCCTCCCTGGGAAAGTCTATGCCAGGGTGCTGGAAAGGAGAGTTCGTCCGTTAGTCGAACCTCGGATACAGAAGGAACAATGCGGTTTTCGTCCTGGTCGCGGAACACTGGACCAGCTCTTTATCCTCTCCAGGATACTTGAGGGTGCATGGGAGTTTGCCCAACCAGTCTACATGTGTTTTGTGGACTTGGAGAAGGCATTCGACCGTGTCCCTCGGGGTGTCCTGTGGGAGGTGTTGCGGGAGTATGGGGTGTCTGGCCCATTGTTACGGGCCATTCGATCCCTATACAACCGTTGCAAGAGCTTGGTTCGCATTGCCAGCAATAAGTCGGACTCGTTCCCGGTGGGTGATGGGCTCCGCCAGGGCTGCCCTTTGTCTCCGGTTCTGTTCATAATTTTTATGGACAGGATTTCTAGGCGCAGCCAAGTGGCGGAGGGCTTTCGCTTTGGTGGCCTCAGAATCTCATCTCTGATTTTTGCGGATGATGTGGCTCTGTTGGCTTCATCGGGTGAGGGCCTCCAGCTCGCACTGGAACGGTTCGCAGCCGAGTGTGAAGCAGCGGGAATGAGGATCAGCACCTCCAAATCTGAGGCCATGGTTCTCAGCCGGAAAAGGATGGAGTGCCCACTCCGGGTCGGGGATGAGTTCCTGCCCCAAGTGGAGGAGTTCAAGTATCTCGGGGTCTTGTTCGCGAGTGATGGGAGAAGGGAGCCGGAGATCGACAGACGGATTGGGGCTGCAGCTGCAGTAATGCAGACGCTGCACCGGTCCGTCGTGGTGAAGAGGGAGCTGAGTGTAAAAGCGAAGCTCTCAATTTACCGGTCGATCTACGTCCCTACCCTCACCTATGGCCACGAGCTGTGGTTAGTGACCGAAAGAACGAGATCGCGGATACAAGCGGCAGAAATGAGCTTCCTCCGAAGGGTGGCTGGCCTCTCCCTTAGAGATAGGGTGAGAAGTTCGGCCATCCGGGAGGGGCTCAGAGTAGAGCCGCTGCTCCTCCACATCGAAAGGAGCCAGCTGAGGTGGTTCGGGCATCTGACAAGGATGCCCCCTGGGCGCCTCCTGGGTGAGGTGTTCCAGGCATGTCCCACCGGGAGGAGGCCCCGGGGCAGACCCAGGACACGCTGGAGAGATTATATCTCTCGGCTGGCCTGGGAACGCCTTGGTGTTCCCCGGATAAGCTGGAGGAGGTGGCTGGGGAGAGGGAGGTCTGGGCCTCTTTACTTAGGCTGCTGCCCCCGTGACCCGGCCCCGGATAAAGCGGATGAAGATGGAGATGGAGATATTTATTGTATATTTTTTGGTACATTTATAAACTTGAAGGTAATTTTATGTCATTTTGTTTTTAACAGAATGAGGCTCAAATGTAAAACTGTTTTACTGATAACTTCTTACACATAAAGACTGATTCCCAGTCTCTTCCTGACGTGAGGATTACACTTTCATAATCTAACACTGGTATTAGACTGACACGCCGTGGTGGCCGTAACCCACAGACTGGGCACTGACTGGGAAATGGAAAGAGCTCAGTCAGTACAGAGCTAAAATATGTCTGCGTTTTAGTCACTACTAACTCTAAATCTACCCATACATGGTTCATTAGACCTGATCAAAGATACATTTTTCACCCATTTGAGGGAAAGTTGGGAAACAGCTTGGATTGCTTTGGGAAAAACTTTTCTTGCAGACACCTCAAAGAGAAACTATCAGCACTGGTGATAGAATTATAACGAGTGGTTTGATTAACTCAAGTATAATTGTTATTTGTTCTGTCATGACATCAGGAAGGCAGTATACGGTTGCACAGTCACTGCATTTACCATCGAACAATAAGGCATGTGTGTGAACTCTCCCCAAGAGGTCCATTGTAGATCACAGAAACATGATTAGACATAATACGTACAAGATGTTTATACTTCTTAAAGTAGGTATTAGCAGAAGGTGTTATAGTGGCTCTGGTATAGAACGTTTTCATATAAGCAGTCCAGCAGTTTCACTGATTTCTTCTTCAGCTTTTGACACTTTGGAGACTCCTTGTGGAGATCACACACACCTCAGGTTAATTTCACTTGAAAGAAATCTACTGTACCTTCAACTTGAGATTGTATCCAGCCAGTGAAGGGCCCCACTACTGATGCTCCTACCCAAGCACCAACCCCCCCCCCCCCCCCAGCAAGCATGCTTTTATCACCGGGATCAAATCCAGGCATGCCCTCAAATAGCCGTTAGTGCAATATCAGAATGTGCAGGAGAGCTCAGTGAGGTGGGCCGGCTCAGCCAAAAGCTTCTAACAACATTACCTGTGATCTCCTGAACATGCTATTCATCCAGAGAAGAACAGCAATGGATGAAGATGACAGAGCAACATGACTTCTGAGGAATAGTCAAGGCAGCAATGCCAACTGCTGATGGTGTTCGTCTGTCCTGCCCAACACACACCTGTCACACACCTCCATCTTCGGATGCACGTATGTGCATCATCCCTTATTTCCCACACCAAAAACAGCAGTGTCATCATGACACTGTATCCAGTGACAGAGAAGTCATTATCTCCAGCACAAGGTGAACTTGTGTTCCACAGCACACAGAAAAATGCAGCGATGCAGTGATGCAGTGAGATTGTATAGTGGAGGCATGCCATCAGGGATTGGATTTAAAGGTCAGCAGATATATACACTGCCCAAAGGAAGACTACAAGAGAGTATGTACTGATCTAGCAGGACATGAGGGAAAAGTCCAGCAGCTGAATGTGTGAATCCCAGACACAATAAGTGGGAAGCGAGCGTATTCAATCCCCGACAGCAGCTTTACTCTCAGAAAACAATGCTGAGATGCAGGAGAGGCAGGCGAGCAGCACGAACAGCAGTTCAGTCAGGAAATCACTTTGTGACGTCTTAAACCTACGTTTTAGATCATCAAAAAGCTTAGTTTCCAATCGCATCCATTTCTAGGATGATGTTTAAGTCTAATTTTCATTAACACTGCTTTGCACCTCACCCTGCAGCAGAACTGATTCTTATCAGGCAATGGAGGTGGACTGCACTGCTGTTAGTGTGTGGATGGATAGGCTGGGGTTGGGGAGAAGGTGACAGACATGCTGCACTTCTTGATCCCCTTTACCTAGATCTGTCGTGTCAGTAAAGTTTTCTGCCAATAAAAACAGAGAATGAAAACATGAGAGTTGTAAGACAGACAGACATGGCAGCAAGAAGGTTGCTTCAGAGGTGCACTTCAAAGTGTCCACGGGTTTGTTTCTACATGTGGTTGAGGTAACATGTTGCTCAATTAATATGATCTCACTGCCACTGGATGCAACACACACGTGAGGAGGTGCAGAAGAAGAAATTAGCTAGAAAACATAGAGGACAACAGTGTCTTAACTGTGAGCTGGTCAGTGAGGAATAATACTTATATGATTGTTCCTACAGTCACCTTGAAGCTGTTGACTGAGGGTCAAATTGTTCGTTTCTTACACACAAAGAATGATTCCCAGTCTCCTCCTCCTCCTAATTATTGAGCACTGGTATTGGACTGGTAGTCTGCAGTAGGAGGTACCCAGAAATGGAAAGAGCTCTGCCCATACATCCCTGTTTGAAAGGCAACATCTTCAAGTCTCTGAGCAAGTGGCTAAAATGTAACCATAATAATAATGATCACAGCTCCTTCTCCAGATAACCTCATACTTTACTTTATTAGAGGACTGTGTTTATTTCCTGTCTTTGTTCATCGCACACAAACACACACACACACACACAGACACGCACACACAGACACAGACACACACCATTACTGCCAGTGTCAGCCCTCAGCCTTCTACTAGATGACTTTATGGTGTAAATTTGAAAATTCCTTCTGAACTCATTCACAGGCTTTTTAGAAAACCTGACCTCTGACCTTGAGTTGCCAGGATTTGAACTTGTCTGAGATTTTTAGTAGATGCACCTATGGTATCAATTTGAAATAAAATACTATTACATATTTTTCATGTTAGTTTTTGAAGTTGGCAGTTCGTCTTGTAATCGGAAGGTTGCCGGTTCGAGCCCCGGCTCGACAGTCTCGGTCGTTGTGTCCTTGGGTAAGATACTAACCTCATGTTTGCCTACTGGTGGTGGTC